AAGAGTGGAATCAACTCCAAGTATAATATTTGATGTTGTAGAGCAGTGCTACTGTTTGTGTTGTAACATATTTTTTCTTCCATGTATAAATCACCTGGTCAATAGCTAAAATTGCCAGGTCAAGATGTTTATAACTTCCCATTTTTGGTTATGTACATAGTTTGAAAATTTTCCATGTGTAAAAATAGAAATGAGCCATGGCCTAAATAACATTTGCCATGAGTGACAAAAGCAATGTAGGGAGATTGTCAACATAATACAGTATATTAGGAGTATATAAGAAACAGAAAACGACAGTAAAAACAGAGAGGGTGCATTTTTGGTGAGGGCGTTGACAGCAACCTCCTTTCTCTCTCATGTCTATAAAATCATCATCACCAATAGCCCCACAATTCCTAATATGCAGAAAATGATACACGAAAAAGCACGGAAAAATTACAGCCTACAGGAGTTGAATACATAAATAAATATCATTGTGTACCCTGGGGATTCTGCGCACCCTGGGTATCACCCCCATCGAGATGAAGGCCTACCACGACATGTTCGCAGCACCAATTCCACTGTCTCTGCTCAAGGCCATCGCTGCCCTGGTTGATCGTGAGATCCCAGCGTGCTTCGCCCCCTCGGCGCGCGATGCTGTGGCCTGCAAAAGCTAGGCCTGCCGGTCCGTCCATCGTCGATCCTTGTCCATGGATCACGGCCTTAAGATTGCGGTTTGGGATGTTCGCAGCCTTAATTCGCGCGCTAGACGCAGTGCCATGCGCTCGCTGCTGTGTACTACTGGCGCCTTCATTGTATGCCTACAAGAAACTAAGATGGCATTGATCTACTCGCGACATCCTCGGGTCCGAATTTGAGAACTACACCTACCTCCTGGCCGACGGCACACGAGGTGGCATCATCCTCGCCTGGAAGAGCGGGGCTGTCACAATCTCGGACCCCTTGTTCACCCAGAACGCGCTCACAGCCAGGGTGTCCGCGGCCAATGGGACGCCGTGGTGGCTGACGACGGTCTACGGACCTCATGTTGATGCTGACAAAATCCTTTTCCTGCAGGAATTGCGTGACATACGTGCTGTGATTTCAATCGCATCTACCGAGCCGACGACAAAAACAATGGTGGTCTAAACCGCCGCATGATGGGTAGATTTCGCCCTGCCATCAATGACCTCGAATTGAAGGAGATATACCTCAACGGACGCTGCTTCACTTGGTCGAACGAGCAATCGCCGCCTACGCTGGTGCACCTCGACCGCGTTCTCTGCACATCCGATTGGGAAGACGCACACGGCGAGCGCCATCTTTGCTGCCTTGCTTCGGTCGTGTCAGACCACTGTTCGCTGCTGTTGGACTGCTCCCCCATGCCGACGGCCCACAAGCGCTTCCACTTCGACGATTATTGGTTGCGACTGGACGACTTCCATGACATCGTCGCTGTGGCTTGGGGCTCGGTGCACGACCACGATCCCTTTCAACAGCTGGTCAAACGCCTTCAAGCCATGGCCCACCGCCTCATGGGTTGCTGCGCCAAGTCCACGGGCAACATTCGGGACAAGCTTGCCATCTCCCGCGAGCTGATCTCCCACTTCGACAAGACCCTTGAGGATCGTGTGCTCTCGCCCCCGGAGGATTGGTTGCAAAAGCAGCTCAAGCTCGCCTACCTTGGCATGGCATCCATGGAGCGCACGATCGCCAGACAGCAAGCCCGCATATCGACCCTCAAAGACGGCGATGCCAGCACAAGCTTCTTCCACTGACATTGCTCTTACCGCCTGCAGAAGAACTGCGTGCATAGCCTCACCGCGGACGAGCATGTGCTCAGAGATCATGAGGATATGTCCCATGCGACATTCTCGCACTTCGACGACTTGCTGGGTACTGCCGTGGCCCGGGATCACACCCTGGACCTTTCCCAGGTCATCGCACCCGGCGACCTAGCATGCCTAGAAGTGCCTTTCAGCCTGGAGGAGATATGGGAGTCTGTCAAGCGCATTCCGACGCGCAAGGAGCCTAGGCCGGACGGCTTTACCATGGAATTCTTGCGCGCTTACTGGAGCGTCATTGGGCAGGACATCCTTGATGTTTTCGAGCTGCTCTACATGTTGCGCGGGCACGGGTTCAGCAAGCTTAACCAAGCTCTGCTAACCTTGCTGCCCAAACGCGCAGACGCCCACAAGCTTGGTGATTACCGCCCTATTTTCTTGATTCACATTGTGGCCAAGATCTTCGCGAAGGTCCTATCGTTGCTCCTTGCTCCCAAGCTCGACACTGCTGTCAGCCGCAACCAGAACGTGTTCATCGTCGGATGTAGCCTCCACGACAACTTCATTCTACTCTGGCAATCTCTCAAGCTGCTGCATCAACTTGGCGCACCTAGAATCATGCTCAAGCTCGACCTCACGCGCGCCTTCAGCTCCATCTCCTAGCCCTTCCTCTTCGAGGTTCTGCGCCAGTATGGGCTTGGGGATCGCTTGAGGGAATGGTCGACCATCCTCCTGTCCACGGACAATACTCGTGTCATGCTCACTGGAGTCCCCAACCCCACGATCTGGCACCACCGCGGACTGCGCCAAGGTGACTCCACCTTCCCGCAGCTCTTCGTGCTGGCGGTGGACACGCTTGGTCGACTAATGCGCTGCGCCCTCCAGGCCGGCATCATGGAGCAGCTCCACCCCCGTCACGCCATCCCGACGATTTCTCCCTACGTTGATGACGTGATTCTCTTTTGCCACGCCACGACTAATAAGGTCTCCGTTGTCAAGGGCATCCTAGGCGTGTTTGGCACGGCTTCTGGACTCCAGGTGAACTACACCAAGAGCTCCGCCATGGTCCTTCATGGCGACGATTCTAGTGCGCACCTGACTGTGCTGCTGGGGTGCCCCGCGGTGGACCTACTGGTCACCTACCTCGGCATCCCGCTCACTACTCATCGTCCCTCCGCAGCCCAGCCGCAGCCTCTTGTCGACGCGATGGCTGGGCGTCTCCCAACCTGGAAGGCATGGTTGATGAACAAGGCCGGACGGCTGGCGCTTGCCAAGTCGGTGCTCAGTGCGATTCTGATACACCAGCTGCTCGCGCCCGCGCCCCCAAAGAAAACCCTGAAGCAACTCGAGAAGATTCAGCGTGGTTTCCTTTGGGCCGGTCGCGCAGACGCCCATGGCGGTCACTGTCACGTGAATTGGCGTCGGGTTTTCCGCCCGATCGAATATGGTGGCCTAGGTGTCCGCGTTCTCGAGCGCACTGGGCTCGCGCTCCGGCTTCGATGGCTCTGGCTTGCGCGCACGGACACTAATCACGCATGGCAGGGACTTGACCTGCAATTCACCCCGGAGGAGCGCGCGCTCTTCTACGCTTCCACGACCATGGCGATCGAGGACGGCACGACCACCCTCTTCTGGGAGGACCGCTGGCTCCGCGACCAGTCCGTCCGCGAGCTAGCGCCCATGCTCTATCAGTGCATCCCCAAGAATCGCTAGAAATCGAGAACGGTGGCGGAGGGCATCACCAGCAACAACTAGGCGCGCGACATTCACTGCGCCCTTGGCTTCCACGAGATTGGGCAGTACATGAGGCTATTGCACTTCGTGCAGCATGCCGCGTTGTCCAACAAGCCAGACAAGCTTCTCTGGAGTTGGACGGCCAACGTCGTATACACCGCACAGTCCTGCTACCGGGCCACCTTCCAGGGATCGACGGTCTGCCACTCTTGGAAGCTCATATGGAAGAGCTGAGCGCTGCCGAAAGTGAAATTCTTCTATTGGATGGCAAACCAAGACCGACGCTGGACTACGAAGCGACTCGCACGCCGCGGCCTGTAGCACCACCCGCGGTGCCTTCTATGCGACCAAGAACCAAAGACAATCCGGCATTTGCTGCTCACGTGCCCTTTCGCTAGGCAAACATGGCACGAGGTCCTCTCTTGGCTGCGCTTGCCGGCACCGGCGCTCGAGCACGACGCCTCGCTCATGGACTGGTGGCTTCGCGCGAAGGAATCCACACCGCCAGCGCTCCGCAAGGCGTTGAAATCCACTGTGCTTTTGGTGCCATGGATGATCTGGAAGCATAGGAATGCGTGTGTTCTTGACCATGTGAACCCATCACTCAATGAGCTCGTAGACAGGATCAAGGACGAGACCAGATGCTGGGCAAAGGCTGGGGCTCAAGGGCTCAGGGTCGTTTTGCCATCATCTTGGGATGTCCACTGAGGTGTGTAACATTTGCCTCCTAGGAGGATGTAATTTCCCTATCTTTCCAATGCAATGGAACACAAATGCCCTTTGCGTTTTCTCAAAAAATAAATGAAAAAATAAATCAGTTGAGGTAGATACACTTTTGTTTCTTTTATATTGTACGTACTTATTTACATCTCCAATTTTTCTGTAATTATATGAATGGGCGCTGCAATGCAGAGAGTTTACCATCAGCTGTCATAATAGAAAAAGGCTATGCTCGGACAAACATCAAGCCCATTGGACCCAGGAAATAAATCAGTCGACATACTGCTGCACTACTTCCCGACAACCTTATATCAGAACTCACCTATTGGATTATGGCCAGTATATCAATTAGTTCATGCAAATTTGTCTTTTATACTATTTTGTATCTCCATATACTCAGTGGCGGATCCAGGAATTGAACTTAGCCGGGGCGAAACATTGAAGGAATAAAAAATTTGATTGACGAATGCAAGTCCGCTGAACCAAGTCTCATAAAATTGAAATATGAAGCTAGATGCATTCGAAAATTTACATGACCAATGATTCAGGACAGTTCAAGATTTTCAAGAACTAGGTTGTAACCACCTAAAATCACAAAATATAACATAAACGTCACACATAACTACTAACTTGGACTCCCGTTGCTTGAATAATGCATTCCATGGCCCAAAATGTCCAACTCCATGATTAATAGATACCTACAACAGGTCAACAAGCTGATATCAATACATGTATTGGAACAAGTAAGCAAATAGTTTGAAACAGATAACAAAAGTATTTACCCTAAGTCGTAAGTATACGGGGAGGGTTTGGTAGATGGCCTCTACGGTCTCTCAAGCTGTGAAAATGTTCTATGATCTTCTTGTCATCAATTCCAGCAAATATATCTCGCTCTACATAGCATATCATCAGATCATTCAACCAATCATCAGATATCTTATTTCTCAAATCTGTCTTAATGATATTCATGGCTGAGAAAACTCCTTCAACAGATGCCGTCGCTACTGGCAAAGTCAAAGCAAGTGTGATGAGTCGGTAAACCAAAGGAAAGTGTAAATGTTCCTTAGTTTCAACCAACTTGAGAGCAAGATTAGCAAGACTGCCACAACTGCAAAAAACATCAGACCTTTTCATCATATCAATGTATATCTTGAGTTGACCATCCAAATGATATTGTTCTTCTGGATCAAACTCGACTGAGTAGATAGATGCAAGCTCAAGTAGGTTCTCATGATTAAATCTGCTAAATGAGTCTCTAGGATCTAGACTAGCAATGCATATCAATAACCTTGTTGAAGTTTCGCTGAACCGGTTATTCATCTCAGCTATGTTTCTATCAAGAACCTCATTGAATATTTCAACTTTGTAGTGATGGAAGCAACTAACCATTCTGCGCGAACTCCTTGGGTAACCCCTTGCTGGTATATTCTCATCCATACTAGGCAATGGTATCTCTCTTTTAATACAAAACGAAGTGGCAGCCGCCAGAAGTGCCTCCCATCCGTCATCCCTTAGCTGTTGCAATAAACTTTTAACAGACACAATCATGTTCATTGCACTTACTATGTTTTGATCCTTTTGTTGCAATGCTTGCGACAAGTCATTAGTCAAACCAAGCACTTTAAGCATCAAATGTAAGATAAGAACAAATTCAAAGACCTCCATAGATTTCATCAAACCTGATGCTTTGCCTCTATCATCCGCATCATGAGAAATAGCATGTAGCACTTGAATCACCGAATCCCACATTTGATAAAGCCGAATCAATGTCCTGTGGTGAGATCCCCATCGCGTATCACCGGGTCTTGCTAAAGTTGTCTCTTGATGTTTGCCTCTTCCTTTAACAATCTCCCCATTTTCTAATTGCCACACAATCTTTTCATGATGCTTCTGTAATAATGCATCCTTTCTTTTACAAGAAGCACTGACCTACAAATCAAAGCATTGCAAAGTACAAGTCAGCAAGAAATCAAAATCATTGTAAAGTACAAGTCATCACTTGAATATTCAATGAGTTATAAAATATACTAACCATGGTTACAATCATATTTGCATATCCAAAGAAATCACTAACAGCAAGGATACCCTTCACAACAGCCACAATCACTAATTGAAGCTGATGGGCAAAACAGTGAACATAAAACGCATGTGGATTTTCATCTAGCACCAGTTTTTTAAGCCATTTAGCTGCCCACGCATATTTGAGGCGCCATCATAACCTTGCCCTCTCAATCTAGACATGGATAATCCATGGGTAGCAAATACTTCATCCAAGGATCTTTTGAGAGAAGCGGATGTGGTGTTCACTACATGCTTGACAGCAAGTAACCTTTCCAAAATATCTCCCTTTATGTTCAAAAACCTGATAATGATAGCCATTTGTTCTCTAACGGATGCATCACGAGACTCATCAACAAGTAGAGAGAAATGGCTATGCCCAAGCTCGTTCATGATTACTTCGATGGTCTTTTCTGCGCAAGCTTGTACCATTTGCTTCTGTATTTCATGACAAGTCATTTGATGATTCCCAGGAGCATTGTCATTGAGTACATCAGCTGCAGCTTTGCATCTTATAGCATACCAATCCAACAGCTCACGAAAATTACCCTTGTTTCTTGAAGTCTTTGACTCATCGTGGCCACGGAAGGCAAGTCCTTGCCTAAGAAGATACCTCACAACACCCATAATAGCCATTAAACGATCTTGGTATTCAAGATGTGACCTCTCAGTTTGAGTAGTCATTGCATATGCCACACTTTGTTTCTGGTTCTTGAAATCTGTACAATGTCTTCTAGCATTGTTGTGAGCACTCTTTATCGAACCTTCATGAAGCCTGAAATATTCCATCGCTTTCTTCCAATTTTTATACCCATCCTGATTGAAGACATTGCCCCCAAACTTGACATTGCTTACTGGCTGCTTGAAGAGATAGCAGTAAAAACAATATGCCTTGTTTTCTTTTACACTATACTCTAGCCAATCAAACTCGTCAAACCACTCCTCTCTGAATACCCTTTTATCTGTAGTGTTGCGAGGAAAATCATGCCCATACGGCTGACATGGACCTTTCTTCAAATACTCCCTCCTCACTGCATCTCTGATTTCTGGAGTAGGATAATCTCCAATTTGTTTCCGGAGTCCAGGATCAGGTTCAATGTGAGTTGGACTAAATCCTAGAATAGAAGTTTGCAAAGTGTTATCATGAGAGCCCTCATTATACACTTCATGTTCAGGAACTAGATCTTCTACAATGTTTGCATCTGAGGCTTCAGTGGATAAAATGTTAGCATCAGGTTCAGGAACATGAACATGAACAGGAGCTTGAGATTCATTAGATGGTGGAGTTGCAAAATAAGTAGCAATTGGCTTCATCTTTTTAAAGATTCCCTATACATTACAAAATCACCATGTCAAGTACTGAACCTGTTCAATAATTTGCTAGAAATTGAAGGAACGGGAGCTTGAGATTCAGTAGCAAAGAATGGATTGGACTATTTACCTGCTGGCTGCGCTTGCTGATTTTGCAAACAGCAGCTGCGCGTTTGCATGAGCTCGATCCACTGCCGCCGCTGCCTCCTCCCTCATAGGCCACGCCCGGCACCGCTGCTTCTTTCCGTTCGCCCATGCGTGGACCGGCGAACGGCGGATGTGGATCAGGTGCCCGCGGCCGGTGGCCCGGCGAGGCAGAGCTCTTCGGCGACAAGCCGACGGTCCGGCGAGGCGGAGCTCTGTGGCGGCGAGGCGGAGACGGCTAGGTTACTCTCGCTACTGCTTCACTCGATTGGGGATATTCTGGAAAGGAGACGGGGTCGAAGGATTCGGTGTGGCCGCAGTCCGTGCTAACTTGTTTTAGGCCGTGGACTGCAACTGGGCCTTTGTGCCTCCCCTGCAAATCCCCACATGTATTGGCCCATGTACTAAAACGAACCGTATTTTTTTGTATACGTAATTTTGGCTACCCGGGGCGGCCGACCATGCTGGCCCCTACCGTGGCGCCGCCGCTGCATATACTTATTTACCAAAGATGTAGAGGCTTATAAACGAAAAAAGCTGGATTGCTAACTTGGTCCACATAATAATTACATCATCATTATCTCTTTCCAAGGAATAGTAGAAAGGGAACAAGATCAAGGAGCATCAACCACCCACCTAACGACGGAGTAGCTCCTCTAGAATATTGGGGCGAATGATCTTGAGATGCTTAAAGCCACAGTCAGCGTGACTGCCTTCAAATTTTGAAAAGACTTGAGGAACCTGTAGCATACCTCCTTAAGCTTGTCACAATCATGCTGCTCAGCCAGTGCCAATGTAGTCGCCGCTGTACCTACATCCATGTAGTTGCACAGCATATTCGCGCAAATCAATTTGAGCCTCTCCAAATTGTATCTGTCTGCCGCCACAAACAGATGTTGAGCCATCTCCGTGATTTCACCTTCATCTATATTAGGCAGTGTGTCCGTGTAAATAAAGTGGAGCATCATCTTGAAAACCTTGGCTTCCATGTCATCAATCTGTATACACTTTGCATCATTCTCCATCATGGGGCCGAAGAGCTACGCCATGAACATCGGCGACCGAGCAGCGAGCAGATGCCTATGGGCCACAAAGGCGAAAATGTTTTACGGAACCATGGTTCAGCCGAACTTACGCTCGACACCATTGGTTTCTAAACACTATTCATGAAGATTCATGCATCATTGATTAAAAAATGCAGTTGACATGCATGTCTATTCATGAGGATCCATGCATGGTTGATTAAAAAATGCAGTTGACATGCATGTTACATATCCACATGTAGTAGGATGTTAAATCGTATGGCATAGACCATAGGTTCGGCTGAACCATAGTCCTAAATTACGTCTCTCACCACAAAGGTCTCCCCGCGGACCTCAAAGGTCACGTCCCCGGACTCCCCGGTCTCCAAAATACGGCCAAGTTGATGAGCCATGTCAGAAGGCGGCACGATCACAAATTCTTGTGTTGTGGGCTGCTTTCGGATGAGCTTGGTGACGCTGACATCGCATCTCACGCTGAAACAATCGTCTTTAAGATGCGCCGACTTTTCCAAATCGGCCCTTGTGATGAATCTGTGAGACGTGATTCCCTGCCCACGCGCACATCATATGGACGTCATGTATGGCGTCGTGTGATTTGGCACCGGTTCGCCCGCCTGGTCCAGCAGGCTAAACCTGCATCTCATCTTGATAGCTCGCTTAGCATCACCATCACCATCATCATCATCATCAGTATCATAACTATGGCCGACAACATCAGCGTGGTGAAGAAATAGAGAAAAAAGATATACAATGGGTAGAATCTCTGTCGAAACCATCAGGGTAGTAAGAGCATCTCCAGCCGCGCCCCCAACAAGGTCCCCTAGGCGACTTTTCGGTCGCCGGCATCAAAAAATCGGCCCAGTCGCGCCCCAAGGGCCCAATTTTCGCCGGCTCGGGCCGAAATTGGCGCCGGCGTGCCCAACCCGAACCCGGCGCGTTGGGGGGCGCTTGGGGGCGCCGGCGTACCGTTTTTGGCGCGAAAGAGCCGCGGGCCCTCCTTGCCAGCGACTCGTCTCGCTTCTCGCCGCTTCGTCGTCCTCATCGCCCCGTTTCCCACGGCGAATCAATGCCAAAGCTGTCGCGCGCTGCCGCGCCGGTCAGCCTTCGCCATTGATGCCTCACGGGCGACGCAGTGAAGGCGTGACGACGCGCGTCCCCGCGCATGCCACGCGTAGACGAGGCTGCCACGCGTGCTCGCGCCGCCTCCGCCTATATAAGCCGACCCCAGCGCGCCGGTGGCACGCACAGAGTCTCCACCGCCGACACGCCCTATCCCCCCTTCCTCCCTCTCCCCTCGCCGTCCCAGTTCGTAGAAATGGCCGAACGATTCCCAGGCGACGGCGCGGCGGTGAACGTGTTCGGCCGTCGCCGCCTTCACGAAAACGAAGCTCGGCTCCTCTACGAGGCTGAGTACCCGGTCCCGTCGGACATGCGGGTGCCCGGGGCGTGGAGAATCAGCGCCGGCGGGGTCCCGGTGCCACCACCGCCCACCGGGGCGGCGCGTAGTGCGGAGATCGCGCGTATTCGCGCCTCTCTGCCGCGGGCGGCGAGGGAGGGGCCGCGCTACGTCCCCGACAGCCCGGTCTAGGAGCCCTACTTCCGCCGCTGTCACGCCGAGCAGCTCGAGGCCACCAACGGCGTCGTGCCCTCCGGCAGGCTCAACTCCGAGGGGCGGCGCCGATGGTGGGGCGTGCCCGGCCGCACGCTGGAGGCCGTCCTCGAGTACATCGAGGGTGGCAACACGCCGAGGCTGGAGTACCCCTCCCCGCCGTCCTTCTCTCAACGCCGTGGGAGTTCGTGGACGCCGAGGCGCATGGACCCCGGGGCGTCCTCCTCCTCGTCCGGTCGGTCGACCGGCTCTCCCAGCCTCCGCCCCGTCAAGCCGGAGCCCCAGGAGCCCAGGACACGCCTGTCAGCCGGCGCACCCGCAGCTCCGGTATCCGCATCGCCGACTCCACCCCCGCTTTCGGGCGCCTCGTCCTCGTCGCGCCCAAGCCGGAGCTCAGTCTCCCCCCGGAGTACGAGGAGATAGCCCGGCGCGGCTTCTCCGACGCGAACGCCCTGCGGTGGGCGCGCGACGACTACCTCCGGACGGAGATGACCCGGCAGACCCGGGCCCTGAAGGAGATCGCCGCCCGCAAGCGTGGGCGCGAGGACGAGCACGGCGTCGTGATCCTCGACAGCGACGACGACGAGGACGCCGCCGGACCGTCCAACCCGCCGCGCCAACCGGAGGAGGGTTGCAGCAGGGACGGCGGCCATGACGGAGGCGGCGACGACGACGACGACGGCGGCGGCGGCGACTACACGCGGTTCTACAACCTCCACGGCATGTAGAACTGCAAGGGCGGCGGGCGACGAGGAGCGGCGAGGCGAGCGAGACGGCGGGCGGGCCTAGCTAGTAGTGTTTTTTTAAAAATATTTTAAATATGTATGAGCGGGCATGTTTGTGCCGTGTTTGGTTGAATTTGATTTGAAGTCGCCAAAATATGCATGAACTCGCCGTGTTTGCGCCGTTCAAAAAAATCCCGTGGGCGCTGCGACTGGATGGCATTACGCCCCCAGCGCGCGTTTTGCGCCAGTGCGCCCCAGGGAACGATTTTTAGCGCCTCCTGAGGGCCAACCACTAGAGATGCTCTAAGCGATGCTCCAGATATGCCCTCCAACGCGTAGGACGCCGGCCGGAATAGCCCTGTAGACGCCGATTCCAAGGGTATAAGAGTAAAGAGTATCTCTGAACTGTGAGCACATGAGACCCGGACATGCCTTGCGCAACAATGGTCGACGCTGTGCGCGGCGGTGTGTCGCCGACAGCCGCGGAAGAGCTCAACATGCTAGCTAGCTAGGGTCGTCGATCAGTCGATGGGCCCGATGGATCGAATCGAAATAGAATGTTGGATCTGAATATAGAAACTAATTAGCAAAAGGGCCCGTGCGTTGTATCGAAAAAAAAAATTATAGTCTTCAATGACATGACCATATTTTGCTGCATCATCGAGATAGACTATCACTCTCAATTTTTTCCTGAAATCATGAACATTTTTTGAACTCATGCACATATGTGAAATCGTGAACATTTTTCAAATTCATGAACACTTCTACAAATTTTTAAACATTTTCTTAAATTAAGAATATTTTTTGAATACGTGAACATTTTATACTATTTGCAAACATTTTTTAAAAGATGAACATTTTATTTTTTATTTTTTCTAGAGTATTACTACTCAAATTTCAACCATATATGCCACTCAAAATTCCCTTCTCCCAAAAATTTCACGGCTATTTAGTTGAACATTAGTTGTCTGTCAAGAGACAGTTGAAAAGATGATTTTATCCATGGCCATCAGGTGCATTGCCATCTGGTGTTCATGGCACACTATCTGAAATCTTCCTAGTCAAACGATGCATGTAAACAAAAAACAAAAAAAGAACCCACCCGACCCCATCCTTCCCAAATCCTCCCGCCGTCACCGCCAACTGCTCATCGTGCCGCCGCCATCCCTCGCCGTCGAGATCCAGCACACTGCAACCGCAATCTGCACCAGCGCGCCGCCACCGCGGACTTCTCCAGCGTGCCGCCGTCGCGAACTTCCCGGTCTCCAGCCCCAGGTCCTCGTCCTCCGACCTCCCAAACCCTGGCTACCCGTTGCCCTTCCTGGTACGCTGCCCCCACCCTCCCGCACCCTACATCCACTATCCCGCCGCCGGCCACGGATCCCTCCGGCGGGCCCCATCCCCGCCCCTCCGGCCTTCTTCCACAGACCTGGCGGCATCCTTCTTCGACAGAGCCGGCCTTCTCCTCATCCTGCCACCCCGCTCGCCGCCCGAGCAGCAGTACGTCGCCGTCTGAGCCCCCGTGCACGGCCACTGCTTTCCCTGGCGTCGTGTCCCGCCCCAACCCGCCGTCCCGGACGACCGCCTCAAACTCACAGTCACCCTGCCCGAGCCCCATCGCCGCGTGCACCCTGCCTCTCGCTGCCCCTTCTACTCGCGCCACCAATGTCCTTCCCTGCTGCTGCCGTTAGATGAGGAACTCCAAACATCGCTGGATCCAGGATAGCGCGAGCCCGTGGCGAGGAGTTGCTGCGTGTGCGTGATGCTCTGCTGCCTCCACCCTACATCATACCCAGCGGCCGTCGAGCTCGCCGTTCGGCCGTATCTTTGGTCTGGACACGGCCTGGACCTGGAGCATGGCCTGGAGCAATGGCGCCGCTGTCCGAGGCCCGCGGGTTCAATCCCTTCTCCTGCTGGCAATTGAACTGCAGTTCACGGGGCAGTAGAACCGCCTGTGGGGCTCGCGTCCATTCTCTCGTGTGCTCTTGCTTGTTGCCTCCACCGCAAGATGACGAACAAATCCGCGCGCCATCGGGAGTCAGTCCACACTTATATATACATGTATTGGGCTTGTGTGTAAATCTTGTCATAATGATATCCGAAAATAAGGTTGAAATCTCTTTTCAAAAAATGTAAACATTTTTAATATGCTTTTTATATATTTTACAATCTTTTTTGGCTTCGAGCTCCAAATTTGTGTGACTTGGTTTGTCTTTCTCTTGCTTCAGTTTTTTGCTTACGAAAGACAGAGGCTTGCCGGAATTGCATTTTGCGAATGCTTTAGTGACCCTAGTTCCACACGTATATATTGATATATTCGTGATACGTATAGATTTTTTATTAGGCGATACTAAAGTACAATAAATTATTTTGCGGTATTAAATTATTTTAATGTCAGTTTTGAATATATTTTTCTTATTTTTGTCTCATTGTAGCCCGAGGTCCAAATTTATGAATGACTTGGCTCCAATTAACATTGTGGCTCTGCAGAATCGTTGTCGTGCAGCATCATTCAGCAGCTCCACACAGCCTCCGGCCACAGCCCACACACACGCTCGACTCCTTGTGTGGTTGGGCCTTTTTTTTTGGATTGGGCTTAGGTTTTTTAGATGGCCTGGCCGGTGTTCAGTTTTGATATATTGGCCAGTGTT